TAAAAAAAGATGGGGAGGAGAAACTTATTTGTCATAAATTATCCAAAATCTCATGAGAAATTTAGTATTTCAGAGGTCAGTAAAATGTAAAGAGTGTATGGGCCAAGTTGTTAAATGGTTGAGGTAAAAACAATGCTAATTTGAATTTTTTTTATACGACTCCTGTTATGGAAGATCCCATTTTACAAATAATAAACTGGATTAATATGACTTGCACATCAGGTTGAGGAGTTCACAGATATGGTACACCACAATTTTTTTATTAACTCTGCATGTTAGAGAACTTACTAGAACAAATAATATAAATGCAAAAATGGGGAACAGAGAACAAAAGAGAAAGTGAGGGCCCAAATCCCAAGCTGGCTGAACAGATATCAAGGACAAGGAATTGAGAAAAGGAAAGGAAAAAAGCTTAAAGTCAAAATAAAAAGAACCATAAATGTGAAGGGGATGGGGCATTTGGGTGTGAGAGAGAAACAGTATAAATCCTAATAAAAAGCAAGGAGGAAAGACAAGATAAACCCCAAGCATTGTGGCTCATTGAGTAAAAAAAACAAGAAATAATAAATGACACAGGCAAGAAAAATAAAAGGAACATACCTGAGAATGAAATTCCAGAAATAAATTGGAAGGCACTACCCAAAGCAAATCAAGCTAAATTCATAGACTAATAGAACATTACCAATTGAGTAGAAAGAATTTTGGCCAACATGATGGGAGTAAAGGGCTCAGTAATGCATATGGTAATACACAGTACATTGAACAATGGTTGCAATGTCCCCAATAGCTAACAAGCCTCTATAAATCATAGTAGAAATGAAGCCTGTGTATAAATAACGTCACTCACACATGACCAAGTATAAATCATCATCATTTGAGAAATTTCAATAAAAAATGAAAGCTTTTAAAACAAAAATCAAAGTTTCATTAACAATGCAAAACCCCAACAAACTGAACTCAGATGAGAAATTTTTAAACATGTCTGTTCAATAAAATGCCAATGATAAGAATAAAGTTATCAAGCATGCAAATGCTTAAGAGGAAAAGTTACTGTACATGGAGGTTGTGTTGCCCTCCTATTAGTGGAGTGTTCTTCTTTCATAATGATGTCATCAAGCAACAATGCAGTTCATGTGTGTGTGTGTGTGTGTTGTTTTTTTTTGCTTTTTATCTCTGTAGGTGTGAAGGATAGGTAGGCAGTTCATGTTAAACATGTTAAATTAGGTGGAAGTTACCTCAAGGCTAGTGGCATGCAAGTCTCTTAGGCAGACACGTGAGGAAAATAGCTTTTCTGTGTGTAGAGGTGAATAATTGTCTCAGAATATATTCATTGAAGATAGTTTAAACTCAACTTGCCTAGTGGTGGTAAATGGAAATAAACAAATTCATAGGACAGTTAGGGTAGTGAGGAATTTGGAAAAAAAGGATATTCAGTGTATAAAAATTGAAATAACAGCTTTAAAGACAAGTTTAACAGATTTAATTACAAAGATAACATGATAAAAAATAAGCTTAGTTGGTATTATTTTAACAAAACGGATGAGTTTAAGGCTCTAGTTGAAAAGGAGGAATATGATATAGTGGAAATCACTGAAACTTGATTAGAAACTGTTGATAATATGAATTATTTTGAAGTTATAAGTTATTTAATAGTGATATAATCTCTAAAAGAGAAAGTGGAATGATTCTATTTGAGGGAGAAACTGCAGCCTGTTAGGATTGAAGACAAAAAAAAATGGTAGTCAAGAGGTTGAACATGTATGGGTTACTACCACCAGTTTTAAGTGTTGAAAGATTTTATCTGGCAATTGTTATAAGCTACTTGGCCAGACAGATGAGGTCATGAGAAAATGTATAACATAAGGGTTACTACTAATAATAATACTGTTACTATAATTATGGGAGACTTCTACTTTAGACACATGGGCTGAAATTGTGATTGTTTTCTATGTCAAGTGGTTATAGAGCCAACCAGGTGTGTGTGTGTGGGGGGGTGTAATTTTTGATTTATTGCTAATTGTTAATAAGGATATAGTTGCTAGAGCTGAAGTGGGGGAACATCTGGGGTAGTATAGTTATTGCAAAATTAGCTTTGATATTTAGCTACATGTTAAGGTAAAAATATATTAACATTTTTGTTTCTAATTTTCAAAAAGCTAATTCTGAGGCCATAAGACAATATTTATCATTAATGAAGAGAGACAGTGAGATCAAAGGTGATGTAAGCCAGAGTTGGGAATTTTTTTAAAAGACTTAGCTCTGAATTCAAGTCAGGCATGTTCCAAAAGAAAAGATAGTAGCAAAGATAAATCATCAGATAATTATAGTCAGCTTACTAAAGACAAAGAAGAACATGAAGGTTCAATGCCATACATTTAAGAAGTTTAAATTTACAGATACACTGAAAAACTTACAGAACTAAACACCTAGGAAGATTAGGGATGTGGTTAAAAAAATTGGAAATCTAAAAAGGCTTACAAGAAACAGTTGGCTAACATTCTTAAAACTAACAGCAAGGATGTTTTGAAGTATAAGTAAGCAAGATGTTAAAATAGAGATTGGCCACTAGTGGCCAACTTAATAAAAACAATGATTTTCCTTCCCATCCACTCTTACTTTTGTATCTGTATTTCAGGATATTTTCACTATTTTACACTTAGTGACTGACAATGTCACACTGTGACCATATTGATTTCATGTCAAAACAGGTAAATATATTTCTATACAAATCAGTATATTCTGATGATGAGAGGATAGAGGTTTAAGATTCAGAAAAAGACGGGCTATATTCCAGTTAAGAATTTTATTCCTCTAACAAGGTAATGGAATGAGTTACCATTGGAAGTAGCGGAGGCCAACACTTTACAGGTGTTTTAGAGGAGAATCAATGTTTCTCTGAAAACTACATGGTGGGCTTAAATTTTAAATTTTTTAAAGAGTGGATGTGCAGCTTTAACTGATCAACTAGTTCCTGTTGCTCATGGATTGTATTAAATTTCTGAGGATAAATGTATTCTTAATAAAATTTTATGTTCAAACTGGAGACCAAATTCTAAATGGTTAAAGAGAAGTATTATATTTCTGATAAATAGTAAACAAAGACTTTTCAAAAATATTAGAATCATTGTTAAAATGGAAAATGCATTAGAATACACAAAATAAAATCATATTAAGAAGGCCACTATTGATTCTAAAATGAAGTTTGAAAGGTCTTAACTTTTAAAATTAAGTTTAATTCAAAGGGTTTTTAAGCTTCTGTTAAAAGTAAAAGGTGTCAGGAAATACTGAACCTTTAGGGGAAGTAGGGACAATTGACACTGAATTAGTTTCAAATGGCTTCAGTTTAGTTTGCTTTGGTGAATGTAATAACTGTTCACACATGTCTTGTGTATAAATGTGCAAGTTCATTTGGAAATGGAGTTTATTTTCATGATCCACTTAACTTGAAATAATGACTTCCAGGAGAGGAAAACAAAGGGTGAATTTAATTTTTTAAATTGTTACTTTTTCTCATGTGTTTGGTATGCAGAAACAGCATTGAAGTAAAGGACCAAATGGACTCTTATTGTTTGTATGATATATTACATGAAGGATTATATTTACCCTTTACTTTAGTATCAGTTGTTGTTTTTTTTGCAGGTGGTATCATTAAGCTAAATTAACTTTCATAACATCGTTTTTTGTGTTCATTCAAGGAAACAATCCTAAATAAGTATGTCCTACTCCCTAAAAAATTTAAACACTTGAGTAAAGTCTCGTTATTAATTCCTACTTATCCTGTGCTTTACTAGAAACAAGCCTAAATGTAAACATATCTCTACTACAACATAACAATGTTTAAGGATAACAAGGTACCTATTGGCCCATCTAGTCTATTCCATCCTCTAAACTAAACTAAAACTATTAAGTAAAAAAAGATAAAATAAAGAAAAACCTCCAAGCCAGCCCTTATCATTCATATATTTATCAAGCTTTCTCTTAAACTCACTTAAATTTACTGCCTCCACAGAACTAAAAAGCCAACCACCCTGTTGCTAGTATTAGAAAAATAAAACAGTTTGCCCCTGAAGAAGAAAGGTCCACCTTTCGAAAGTGCACAGGTTATAGGGTTTTTATCAACTTCTTTCATAACACTGTTAAGGTTATTCCCATCCAAATCATGATAACCCATATGCATTATCTTGTATTTATTATAATTAAAACCAATTTGACATTTATTTGTCCAACTCACTAAATTATCTCAATCCTTTTGTAAATCAGCAGCACCCTGTTCACAGCTAGGAACACCAAAGACCTTAATATTAATTGCAAATTTAAGTAATTTATTGACCATTCCTTCATCTATGTCACTGATGTAAATCAAAAAGAGCAAAGGTCCTAAGACTGAGCCCTGAGGTACCCAAACTGTAACATTAATCCAGTTTGATTGAACTCCATCTACAACAACCCTCTGCTTTCTTCCAAGTTCCATTCAGCCACTCTTCTATCCAATTTGCTAATTTATCCTCCACACCTATAGAGATCATTTTTTACAAACCTTTTATATGGTACCTTGAAAAAAAAAGCTTTCTGAAAATCCAGTTACACCAAATCTGCACACTTAGCCTCATCTACATGAGCAGTAAACTTTTCAAAGAATGTCAAAGGATTTGTAAGGCAAGATTTTCCCTTAGTGAAACCATGTTGACTATCCAATAAATTTCTAAACTTTGTTAAACAACTTTCCAAAATTTTTCATATAATAGACCTATAATTACTGGAACAATTTTTATCAGCTACCTTGAAAATAGAAGTAACAATATTAGCCAATTTCCAATCCTCTGGCACCTGCACACTGTTCAACTTTCAAGGACGTGAGCTAGCTTAAACAAAATCTTTGCCAATACCTATTGTTATCAGCGAATGTACTCTCTAAATAACTTATCTCACTATTAGTACTAAAGTAAATGTGCTGTAAAACTTTTACTAAAAGTAAAAGCTTATCCTACTTTACTACGTACCTTTGAAATGATTAGATTCAGCAAGTTGTTGTTGTTGTAATGAACCGGATTTGAAACTTAATGTTGAACTGTATTGTATGAAACAAATCACAAATAAAGAAACTACTTTATAAGTTATGACAAACGATACACTCATTTTTGCAGTACCGTTTGATATTAAAATTTTGAAATGACAATATTGTGGTTATTTACCGAAGGAACAGTAAATCTATTAGTACTACAGTACCATCAACGTGACTAGACTCAAGAATAACTCATGAAATAACACAACACCAAAGCATCGTGTTGTGATTTGGGACGCGACCCCTAGCGGAAGCTAATATTCAAAACATACATGTTCATATACAGAAAACACAAAATTTACGATTCCTTTGATGGCTTATTTGTTTTTATACAAAACGACATTGGGCTATCTCGCGTGTCCACTGCAGGGAATCGAATCTTGGATTTTAGCTTTGTAGGTCGATAGACTTATGGCTGCCCCGCGGGGGGGGCATTCAAGCAAAGACCAGCATTTGCTGGTGGTGAGGGTGGAATGATGTAAAATGTCTTTAGGTTGGTTACTTCAGTTTCAAAGCTGGTTTTCTGTTAGTCAGTGTGACGTTAATTAATCCTGATATATAGAATTTTTAAAAATATACTGTGATATATTAATATTTTCAGCCAATTAAATTAGATTTATATGAACTTTTCAAATGTTATAATGCGAACTTGTAACTATGACAACCCGTATTAATAGCTAAAGGAAATCACTGGATAGAATATCTTTATTTTAGATGATTTTTGTTGTTGTTGTTTCAGAAACTAGGCCTACAAGAAAACAACATGTTAACTAGATTGACAGAAAGTTAAGAATACCCAATTATTATACATCACATCAGTATCTAGAATAACACAGTGCTTTAAAATACTGTATTAAAATATACGTAGGTAGTATGATGGTATCAAAAATTGATCGCTCCTGGGAAGGGTATTTAACAGCTCTTTTTGGCGCAAAATATTCTTACACCAAAATGGGGATATCACTTGTATTTAATTACATTTGATTTCATAAAAAATTAGAGAGCTTCTCAAGACAATATTTGTTTACCTGCTTCACCTGACATACTAGTAACCTATTATAATGTGAGACTGTCAAAGTCTGGTAAACCTTTAATGTATGCATTATTTATCAGCTCAATTTTTAGACAACAATTTTCCTGTTCTTCACCTTCTTCTGCTGGACAGTGGTGGGCTTTCACTGATTCATCTTTAAAGTGTCAATCTTATCAACAGGTGATGTGTTATGCCCCTGCCACGGATAGAATGTGTAACCGTGAGCTAGAGTTTAAATCTGGAGAAGAATCCCAAAAAGAGATGATCATCAAAACACGAAAAGCCTGTTGCAGAATAGTATATAGCTTATATATACAGTGGTCCAAAAGTAGGTATACAGTCACACATGTTGAATCTATTAAACTGTTTTTAGGTGATAAGAATATAATAGCTGATAACCTGACTAATGACCAACAGAAGTGACAGGAAGACTTTACGATTGTGTGAACAGAGATGGGTTTCAATTTGAACACCTGCGGGATTAACTTTCCCATATTTTCATGTCACGTGATCAATTATCAACTGTACACCTACTTTTGGGCCACCCTGTATATATATTCTTGAATTTGATGTTAACTGTGTATTTATTATGACTATTTATGTATTTTGAATTTATTTGTAGTTTCTTTATATTGGTTGATTATTGTTCTGGATCTTTAAATATCATTTTGTAATATGTTTAAATTGTGTGATCAGTTTTGGTTTGATTTTGTAATTTGTGTGTGTGTGTGTGTGTAACAGGCTCAAATTATAACTTTATTTTATGGTTTAAGTTTTATTGTTTTATTTCAAAATTTTATATATATATTGCAATTATTTAATTATTCTATTTTGAACTATAATTTATAATTTTCTACAATTTATTTGAGTTTTATTTTAATTTGACTTGTTGTTGAAGTTTTGTGTTAACCCTTTGTGTAGATGTCTTAGCATCTTACAAGTCAACTGCAGATGGTGATACTGCATCCTATGACCAGTAATATCTACTAAACATTTAACCATTAATATTTGATTTTAATGTCAAAATCTGGGAAGATTTTGATAAAAGGAAGGAGAGCAGTTACAGTTGAAATATCTGTTAATTTCATTCTTTTACAACTAGTATAGAATATGTCTTTGGTAAAGTATAATCAGGTGATTTTCTAAATTTTCAAATAAATGTTCTATACTTAGTTAACGGCATCCTCCATGATCCTTGTAAACATGTACTAATAATTTTACTTAGGTAAAAGTTACATACAGCAACGGGCTATCTCATAGTACATTAATATTACAATGACTCTGTGTCTATTTTCACTCTCTGAAAGGGGGCAAGCCCATTTTGAGGGATGGCACAAATACTTGTACAAATTGGTAAGAGTTGGGGATCTCTACCTGGAATAACTACCTGTTGGACACCATTCTACCTGAATATCACCAATAACTCATGAGCTTAGGTTATCTGTAACTTGATGCATATCATAGGAGCTCTTTTGGCTGTTTCATTTAAGAAATTTGGCAGTAGCCATTCAGATAATTATCTTTTTCCATAATTAAGAAGAGGCTAGATAAATTGTCTAAAATATATATATATATATTAATATTATTTTTATTTTTATATTGTGTTCAACATACTTTTCCGCAATTTAATGAACTATTATGGTGCCTTATAAGTTACTGTCTCTGTTGGGTTAATGAACATAATTCAATTAGGCATTAAAGGGTTGTTGTTGTTTTGTTTGTTTTTTGTTTTTTTTACAGAGTTAGATAGATTGTGTTACACTTCTGTAAAAGGTTCAATGTTTAAAGGCTTGAAAATAACAGCTTTTCAAAGATGCTTGGGATTATTCATTTTTAGCCCAAACATCCTAAACAAATACCTTTTTGTTATGAGCCATTTAAATTTGATTCCGGAGTGATAAGATTATCAGTCGAGCCTTTTCTGCTTTTTAAGAACGTAATTTCATATTGTTACGTCTCTGGTCGTTGGTTAATTTTTCGTAGAAATTCTTCCCGAAAAACTTCAGCGATGCAAGTCCTTTCTTAAATAAACTAGTTTATTCTTTCTCAATACAACTTTGCAATACACTTATTTTCCACAGTCACTTAAACACACGCTATAATTCTCAACGAACGATTCACGCACTTTACTTACTACCGCGCTTGACTCAATTGTCCGTCTATATCTTCAATCTCTCTGTCCTCTATTCAATCCCGATTAATTGTCTGGCGCATTTATATACAAGAATAAAGGGCGCCTAGCAAATACTGCATTATTCGTGATGTTCCCCGATCTTTCTAGAACTCATTACGTGTTACCAGCGTCACGTGATTTCCGCCTTCGTAACAATATTTTATTCATGAAAATTTCAAGATTAAATCATTAGTTAGAGAATTTGCAAAAAAAAATTATGGCCTTTCCATCCTGTACATCAAATTTTGCAAATATGCTGCAAATTTTACCTGGAGAAAGATATATTCTTTGATAATTTAAAGAAAAAGATGAAATATCACAATTTTTTCTATCACAATCCTTCATTACTCATCTCAGGGCCTTCATAAGCTTGAACTTTAAAATATACATTGAAATGTTGAATTTTAAGATTAATTAACTACGTCGTAACTTCCAGCAATCACATACTTGGACTACACACATGATACCAGGAATGTACATTCTTAAACATTGTGCACTTTTATAAAGCGTAAAAATAACTAAAATCAAATTAAAGTAAATCCAAAATAAGCTAATATAAGATAAACTGAATAAACAAAGTTTAAATTAAAGTGATAACGAATACAGTGTTAAAATCATATTGTGTTGAAAAGGAACAAAATCAAATGGACTATGTACAGAAGAAAATATAACTGAAACATAAATGAAACAATATAATTACAAATTGATATTTTCACAAAACAAGGCAGCAGAATATACCAGTTATAATCCAAGACGATAAAATAAAACTAAGTACATACCAATAGTGAATAGCATGCGATTTGTTTGTTTTAGAACAAAGCCATATTGGGCTAACTTTTGTTCCCCCCCCCCAGGAATCGAACGCCGGATTTTAACATTTTAAGTCAGTAGACTTACTGATTTCCCACCAGAGGACAATAGAGAAATAATTAATTGAACAATAAAGAAAAATGGATGCATAGTGGAAATTTGCTTTAAATTAAAATATAAGAAAATAGAAAATATATTAAAATATAAAATAAAAATGAACATGCCAATTCACAATCGAAAAAATGAAATAAAACTAAGTAAAATGGTACACAATTAAAACATTATAACTAGAAGGAACATTTCATCTTTCAAGGAAACAGTTTTTGTGACAAAACAATTAGTCTATACAGTGAAGAGGAGGAAGAAAACCAACAGCAGCTGTAATTTAAGCTGCAGAATCAGCTCCAAACAAGCCTCTAGAGTCGATTTTGGCCCCAAGATTGATGATAGTATTGATTGTCTTCATTGCAGCAAATGCTACAAGGGATTATGATGCGACTGCCATGTTACCAGACAGACCACTTGTTGTGGACATGTTTTTATGTGGTTGTAAAACAGGATTATAAGGTACAAGTAACATTCAGTCTGACAATCCAACAGATGCAGGAAGGTCACTGGCAAGTTACAACTATAGCTGTGCCTGAAGTTTAATCTAATGGAGCCTGAGTTGAGTCTGTTCACCAACTTGGGTGAGTTCAGCAGTCAGCTTACACATATTATGGTAGCTAATTTGAAGAACCATGGTATTGTAATTACGTGATATGAATTAATAACAATATATGGAAATGAAGTTGAGTTTTTAGTAGATGCTGTAATTGCCAGGACCTCACTCAATGTGGCTATGTATCAGGCACTCCGTGGAAGGCCAAGTATTGGCTATTTAGTATCAACTTCATTCTGGAAGGCCAAGTATTGGCTATTTAGTATCAACTTCATTCTGGAAAATTATGACTATCTAGACATCTTTGTTCAGTCTCCAGTATCTGATAGGTGGACGTATTATGGAACTTGTTAAATTTTTTGCTTGGGTAACAAGTGAACTATAGTTCTGTGGCAGAACCATCCAGAATCGGCCACACTGGCCTGAGGACATTGGATTGTATGTAAGCTTATTGCAAAGAAAATTGTATATTCTCCTAATGTGTAAGTGATGTGTCCATTGTGAACTATGGTGCAGTCTAGTGCATCTTTGCCATTTACTGCAGTAATAATACTTACACACAAAGTAAAGCACTGTTTTTTGTTTCTTTTTCATGGATTATAGTCTATACAATTACCTAAGTTTAATTATTAATCAGTTGCTATTTCTTCAGTAAACTATTTTCTGTCTGGAAGATAGTGTACACTTACTGAAGAGATCTGTACCAGTGCTAGTTTGTAACTATAAATATTTGTCTATTCAGTTCTCCCATGGAATGGTTTGGACACACACAGCTCCCAGATCGCCTGAAGTCTTTAGATGAGGATTGTACTAATAATCTGAATTTAACACTAGGACATAAAATAAGTAAATTATACAAGGAGTTTCCTGATTTGTTTGTGGATCCACAAGGCCATTACATGCACACACATGAAAAAACAAAACAAATACAACACAAGCTTCCATGGAGTATAAGGATAGTAAAATGTTTGGAGTACATATTTGTCTCCAGCAGTGATGGTTAGAAAGAAGGAACATCAAGATTTTTTGTAGGCCTTAGAAGGGTGTAGGGAGTAATATTCATCAACATCTTTCTGGTAATACATATTACTTTATGTCTGGATGCACTGTACACTGTCCATTACTTCAGTACTGAAACAGGTTAGCACTCAGGTGAGTTTAATTGTTGGAGTTTCAATTAAAACCAACCTGTTCACCTTATTTTGTAGGCCTTAGAAGGGTGTAGGGAGTAATATTCATCAACATCTTTCTGGTAATACATATTACTTTATGTCTGGATGCACAGTACACTGTCCATTACTTCAGTACACTCGATCTGGCTAGTAGCAAGTTGAACTCGATGATGATCAAAGACTGTTTTCAACGCTAAAGAAGGACTATGTGGATTCCACATTGTCATTTGGATTCTCTAACATGCCTATCATTTTATCTAGAGGCTAATGAAGTTTAAATTTATAGAACTGTAATGGGAAAGATTCGGCGACCCCCCAACTCATTAGTTCCCTTTGTTTATCATTCGGGCAATCGGCGTCCCCTTTCGAGTTGGTGCCCTATGTGAATGCACCTCTCGCACTATTCACGATACGGTTCTGCAGCAACATGTTCTTATTTTCATGTTCTGTGGATTTACTTAGAGTGGTAACTTAAGGACATTAACTGGAGGCTCAAGGACATCGCGGAACCGAGTGTAGTTAACCCCAAACTCGAGCGGAGTTCATCGTACAGAAAGATAAAAAAAGCAGAAATGCACACATCAGAAAAATCTTTATTTATCTTAAAAAACAACAGTACAATACAAACAATATAGTACATTTGTTTAGTGGGTGTGTAGACCTGGTAAGAGATGTGTGAAAAACTTTATTAGTTTTTTGTTTTACCAATTCATCGTGATTTCCTTTGTAAGTTAAACTAAACATAAATCAAGTAAAATTTAAACGGAAAATATTCCCCAAAAGTTGACATGAAACAATTAGTACAAATACTTAACCTAAGCGTTAAGCCAAACAAACTCCAACTCCCTCAAAAGTCAGTCTGCTACAATCGAAGTCGACGATTACGTTACCCTCAAAGTTAGAATTTGACAGAAAAACAAAACGAGAAGTCTGTTAATTTTTTCAATCTGAAAATTTGCAAAAAATCTTTTTACAATACCTTTGAAACACGCGTTATAAAAGTCTGCCAAAATTCTGTTATCTGAAAGTCCACAAAATCTAACTCTTCTGGGAAAAGCGTGACCTTTATGTACGAGAACATAATACACAGACAAAGGCAGCGAGCAGTCCAGGTGTTTAAAAAGTAAGGTGTACAAAGAACATGGCAGCCCTAACTATTATCTGATTCGCAGACAAGAAAAACAAATGTCTCTTTAACTACGGCACAAGTTATCCTTCTCATAGGAGAAAACAGATGACATCAAATAATGAACAAACGTACTGTGTACACAAGTGAAAGGGAAAGATGAGTAACTTACTCGTCCAAACTGAGAACGGTGACAAATAAAATAATTTTAAAACCTATATATATCAAGTAAGGGGGTAGCTAACGCGTGGTACACTCCTGTACCATATATACTACACAATAGGTTGAGGAAAGTACTAAAGTCACTACCAAAATTACTCTCAAGTCAATTAATTGTGTGCCTGTGTTTTTATTAGCATATTGATTTTAGTTTATTTGTTGTTTTTTTGTCTTTAACAGTTTTAACTAATACAAGTGCGTTTTACATTGAGTATGGTCTGCACTCTGGGAAGAAGCCTGTGTTTTATCCATTAGATAGTTGATTGTATAAAGGGCCTGAGCGATGATTTGTTTATTTTAGAGCAAAGCCACGTTGGGCTATCTGGTGTGTCCAGTGTGTTGTAAGTTCGTCAACTTACTGCTGTCCCACCAGGGGCGCCTGGGCAAGCTAAATTCGTTTGGAAAATAAAAGCATTAATAATATTTACAATTCTTGATCATTCTTTCTGCATAGGATTTTGTATTTTAAATTTGAAGTTTTAAAAAATTCGAGAAAAAGAAATTATTCACTTTTTTTTTTATTTGTATACTCTTGAATTTTCTACAAACGAACTGGTTAATTACGTACTTTAATCTAAACATTATCTATCACCCCTGGTCGAATCCTGTGTAAAAATAAAGAAACAAAAACAAAATAATTTGGATGAAGCATTTTTTTTTATCTTTACGTGCAATAAAGCTCACACTTAAGACGGATTGTTCTGTGTTATAAATACATTATAATAAATGATCTTATTGATTACATCTTTTTATCTGTACGGTTAACGATCACACTATCATCATAATATATACACCTCAATAAATCATTGCAGAGCAGTTGCCTTATTCCATTTCGTTTCTGAATGTAATAATTCTACAATAATCAAAGAAATTAAGAAACATCAGGCGGCAGCTTTGCTCAAGTTTGTTTAATAATGAAACATTAGGTGACCATTTTACTCAAGTTTGTTTAATAAAAAAATCAGGCGGCTGCTTTGTTCGAGTTTGTTTAATAAAGAAACACCAGGTGGCTGCTTTGTTCAAATTTGTTTAATAAAGAAACAACAGACTGCTGCTTTATTCAAATATGTATAATAAAGAAACATCAAGCGGTTGCTTTGCTCAAGTCCGTTTAATAAAAAAAAAATATCAAGTGGCTGCTTTGCTCGAGTTTGTTTAATAAAGAAACATCAAACAGCTGCTTTGGTCAAATTTGTTTCTTGAATAGCAAATCTAAAGACCCTTAATATTGATATTTCTTCATAAAATCCAGCAAGTGAATAATCTGGTATCTCTAAACATTTCTCTGTAGTCGGGATACATAAATCTTATTTAAACAAAGTGTCAGACGTAGACAAGTATTATACTTGATCAGTGTATATAATGATGTCATTATAGTGAAAACATTCATATTTTTACACACACAACTGCTGTGCTTGGTTGCTTAGTCGACTATCTCCTCTAGATTATATATGGAATATGTTTTTGTTTTCATATAAACTTTCAGGCAACAGGGTGAGAAATAAGATACTTTCTGTATATGCTGGAGTGAAGCCAGACATCCTATTTTAATTTATCGTCTGACTTGACTGAGATACTTTATAGAATGAAACCTTGAACTTTAAGGTTTCTGGGGTAGACCTCTAGCGGCAGGACCAGGATAACGAAGAGATGGTTTATTCTGCGTCATTACTGCAAGTACAGCACCCCCTGCATTAAAATAAGTATACACAAGTAAGAAATTATCTTACTTGTTTACAAAAGTGTTGTAGTCGGCGCCTGTAGGATTAGTAAACACTACTCTATATAATGTCATATTAATTTGAAGAAAAACAAAGAAGTTCAAATTAAAGGACACAACAACAAACTTCAGTTTATTTTAAGATGTCTGTAATACGTAAATTCCTTGTTTTGTTTCGTACTAACAAGAATTGCCTAGTTCTCTTAGTGTCATAATTAATATTATCCTCTCTATAACAGGTCGCATTATTTACAAATACCTTGGAAGAACTTCCTCTGGTATAGCTTCAAACATACAAGAAGAACAAAGAGTATTTAATGAATCTTTTGGAAAGTCTAAATGTTGCAGTTATGTATCAATATATTTTGTTGAGTGGATATAGTCCGTTGAACGTGGCTTGAAATGGAATTTTTATTATTCTGTAATCTGTGATATAGGCATTGTTTTTCGGCGTATGACTACTAAGGCAGTATGCTTTAAGTGCTATTATTGGCACATGCTTGCCACAAAATGAGATGAACACGTCATGTTTGGATGCTTAAAAGTCGTAGTGTTAACGTCGAAATAAATGTGTCACTACAGTGACTTCGGAAAAATAAGCATAAAAAACAAAGAGATATCTGCAATTAACATGTCCTGATCTTTACCTAGTTATCTTTAAAGATTTCTAATACATTACGTCACACTTGCGTCATATCCGGAATCAAATGTCGCTAAATCTCAATAATAATTTTATAAATAGTTGATGTTCATTACTTAAACTGGATTAGAATCACATAAGCTGAGGGAGGTACATTTCAAAGCATCTTTGTGAAGCTCTAACATATGATAACATTATGATAGTTATCAATTATCTTCAAATAAAGAAAATGTATGTTTGCAAAAAGAACTCACTTGTATCATACCCCCCCCCCTCTCCCACTCTCCCTTTCCAGTAGAGTATTTAGTTTCCTTTCTGAGCATGACGTGTGCACCTCTCTACACTTGTGCCATATGGCTGACTGATCGTTAGCGGGAGGGAAAGTGAGTGAGATGTTTAAAAGCCAGGCGGGGCTCCGAACCACCAATGTCTGCTCGCTCGGTTTTAATTAATGTTTATATAGATTACAGATAGTGAGGGATTAGGTTTGTATACTCGAGACAGAATTTATCTAGATATTTTTTGTTGTAAGACTGTATTAAAGGTTTTTAAAACTGGGTTAAGATGGGGCGAAGCTAGTGCTTGAGCGAAACTTGAGAATTATCACGTACGGGATTGTGTTATAGTCAGATGGACGTACCGAACGCCGGTTGAACGTGACTACTGGCAGGTCCTGGTTTTGCGCTGGTCGTCTCAATAACAAGCCTGGAAACAGTAGTTTTTGAACCCACTGAAAACGTCAGCTGTTCGATGAAACTGACTAGGTCACAAGGAGATGGAATTAGCAAGCTCTACAGCCCGCAGGTGTTCGTATTTCTTTCGCACAAAAAGCATTCTGGTAAGTCATGATAACTAATACGAATAAAGCAAATCATAGGATTTCGTGTCAGTTACGTTTTTTAAAAGCAATTTACCACCGTTCACACACGCGCTCATGCGTTGTAAAACCTCATGAACGTTACGAGATAAAATGTCCACTAACCTCTCGAAAAAGCGAGTTCCACATAAACGAAAAATTATTAGATTCTGTTCACAGAACGTGTGATAATACTCCTGGTAGAGTGAACCCATTAAGTCGGTACCATCTGTTTAGCTTAGACTCTGTAGTCAAGTTCAAAACACTTATAACAAGTTCAAACGTATTAAACATAATATATGACTTAGTTTTCGACTAAAACTCGATCACGTGACGACTTGAAACATACTGATTGTCCGACAAACAATCACGAGTTTTAGCCCAATTAACTTTTTTTCCTCCCTTTTTTTATTTATTAAATTTCATTGACTGTCAGTTTTCTATCTTGTGCAAAGGCTTTAAAAATGCACTAACTATTAGTAACTGTTATTTTTGTAATAACTGGTAATAATTGGAAGTTCTTGTACTTACAGTAACGTGAAATTTATTAGGACACTATTGGTCCTGTAGTTTTTATTTGTTGAGCCTATGAAATAAAACCATTGTCGCTTAAAATGTTGGGAAAAAAAAGCAAACGAAATACGGAAATTATTGATTTTCTTCACTTTATCCGTAACTTTAATATGCCACACATTTAATTCATTTAAAATTTTAAGATATAATCAACATATAGCCACAAATGATTAAGTGTACTACATATACTAAACTCCGTTCAGTATGTTTAATCTAAATACAAAGTGGTGTAACTTTGTTGCCCATAATTGCTTAAAAATTTTGTACCATTCATCACAGACAAACTCTGAGATTTTAGCATCCTGAGATTTGGATGTGGGTGTTGCCAGTAAAATGCCAAAACAAAGAGAATTAACACACTTTGACAGAGTACGAGTAAAATGTTTACATCATGGTGGTTGTAGTTAAAAAAATTATAAAATGCCTTGGCTGTTCACCAAATACGGTGAAGTACACATTGGACTCAGTTCTATAACATCATAAAAGGTAGGGAACAGAGAAACAAGCTCACCAAAAGAGATGTTAGAAAATTCTTGATGATGACGTTAACAAGTCACGCAAAAGTAATAACTGTAGTCTCGAGAATGCTACAGAAATTTGGCCTTTGAGGAAGAGTAGCAGCAAGAAAGCCCTTACTGTGCAAGGGGACCAGCTTTTGCAATAGAACGTGTATCTTGATCTCTGGAAGATTGACACAAGGGATTTTGAACAGACTTGTCTAAATTTTAATTTGGTTCCAACTGACAAGTATAGAGGTCTTGCACTGACGTCAAAAAGCTACATGGTCTATAGTTTAATCCGCCATATTGGAGGTCAAATGCTTACATTCATCTTAGGTGAAAAATTATAAATTTTTCTCTTACTATTGTTTTATTTGACGCTTTAAATTATCACAGCGATGTGCATAACGAAAAATATGCCGAGAAACTGAATAGCAGTAGAGTTTAGGATCCTTGTATTTTGCCACACGCACTTTTTAAGCCATTGTTATCATGTACGGTTTTACTGAATCTTCTACTGACATAGATAGAGTGCTGTTGATTTCTAGAAAGATATGTTTGGCATCCAATAAAGTGGTGTTGAATGAAACAAACAGTTCTATGACGTCGAAGAGTCAATGAGAGATTATATAAGAAGCTAAATATTCAGGAGACTTTATGATTTTATGGAGCGAAAATCTTCACATACTGATGGAAACATGAACCTGCATTAATGAACAGTATATATATTTTATCACTCTATACCCTCTGTAAAGAAGCTGATTGAGCAGGACTTCATATTTCAAGAAGATAATAACTCCAACACCCTTCCAAGAAGTGTCGAATTTATTTTATAAAAATAAAATAAAAATCTCAGGAAATCTCTATCGAATGGAATGGCCGCAGACCTTAACCCTATAGCCAAAATCTAGGACTTGCTGGACTCTATACATTTCAAACATACCAGCTGTATCAAAGAAAGCCTCTGGACACAGCTTTAAGAAAAATTGCATCATATACGTCAGAAATTTTGAGAAAATACACGGAAACAATGCCACAAAGATGCCAAGCTGTTATTGATGACATAGGTGGCCACACAACACATTAGCACTAAATAAACCAAAATAGATTTTTTTTGTGTATTAATTTTGTAAAATTACCTGTAGGATTAAATTGCAATAATAATAAGTTAATTGCCATAGCATGTCAATGAGGACTATTTTGTTCGTGCAGCTTATAAAATGACGGTTGTTGAGACGTTCTAATAAATTTGCACACTAATGTATATACTGTCTATATCACATAAAACAAAACGTTACCTTCCATCCTACGTTACACAAAATAGAAATAAAACCCCTCACAACATATCTTATCAATTAACAAAGATAACTCTTCAGTCAATACGACATAAATTAATAAAAATATACCATACCATTTACGGTAAGAAACACAACCCTTCAGTCTTGGACATATCTAAAGAAACGCTGCCTTTTGGTCTATACAAGATATAGTAAAAATGTAACTCTTTTCTTCAAATAAACTATGACACATTACTTTTCCATCTATACCTAATACAGTACCTTTCAGTCAATATCTAATAAGGTACAAACATAATTTTTCAGTCTATAACTAACGAAGTATTCAACGTTACCATTCAAATCATAGAATAAGAAATGTAATATTTCAGTATATACAACGTAAAAGAAGAAACGCTATTTTTCAGGATACAGCACCTAAAGTAAGAAACATTTTATTTGAAAGTATACTAAATAAGAAAATGTTGCCCAGCTTATACCACTAAAACTATGCCGAATGAAAAAAAAGAATATTGCTCTACTGTATATAATAAAGTAAGAAACGTTATCTCTCATACGCCATATACAGTAACAAACGCTATTTTTTTTTTCTTAACACACATAAAACGTTAAAATGCCCATCACTTTATGCAGTAAGAAATATTAACTCTCAGGCTAAACACTTTACAATAACAAACATTACTGTTTACTTCATAACACATAAAATGTAAAAAAATTTATCACTTTATACCACATACAGTGAGAAACATTATTCATAGGCTATGCTATATACAGAAAAAAACCTTACTGTTTATTTCATAACACATTTTAGGATGTAAAACTGTATAACACTATACTGCACAGTAAGAAACATTAACCCTCAGGCTACACTATATACAGAAGCAAAGTTACTATTAATTTCATATTGCATGAAATCTAAAAATATCCAACGCTTTATACCACTCACGGTGCGAAACGCTAACCTTAGCGCTATACTACATGGACTATTTAACATAATCTTCTAAAAAAATATTAGGGATACTTACATTACTAATATTATGCTTTTGTATAATTTTAAAAAATAATTATAATGATACATAATAAATTAAGGTTTTACGAAAAGAAAAGTTGATGCCAAGAAAAACCAAAAATGGCCTATACTGAATTTCACGTGATGATGTTCAAAAATATAGTGACAGACATAATAGACTTACATCCAGACCTTTTCTAGATGTAAATGGGAGCATTAAATATCACTATGATGTTATATTATTCTCTACAATGTACATGTCTCCAAGTCAGGTAATAGCATTTTCTCCATCAACGTATACAGCGCGAGTATTTGTGATGTTTATGACAGATTACATATTCAAGATTACCCACAGCCGTGGAAACCCCTTCTTCGCCTCGTTTTATTGGCGGATGATGCAGTGGGTCCACTAGTGTAGTCCACTAGTGACTCTCATCCTTTTGGCAAGCTGGAAAAGTTTGCTCTGGCATAGTTTTAGAAGCAAAGCTGCTACAGGACAAATGTAATTTGCAGATATGTATTTTTAATTTGGAATGGTTTATTATTGAAATTTATCGTGCATAATCCACTATGGAAAATTAGAAAGCTGAACACAGCAGCAGATAATAATGACCATCACCGGTACTGTCATATAGTAATACATATGATTGTTAGGAAGCTAATTTACTTTCACAGTGGTTTGTGCAGGATTTTTCAAAGTTGGTGCACATAAGAATGGGATGAATTTGAAAATACCTTAACAGGATGTTTTGAAAATTGCACGAATTTATTAAAATTCGGTTTACTTATGTTGCAATGTAAAAACTGTGTTTGTCTCCGAGATTAGATAAATGCCATTAGAGAACTTTTGATATTGCATAAAAACAAAGGGGAAGGGATGGTTATTATTTCTCCGAAAGGGGGCCGAAGGCCGTCTGGAGGGGTCACCTGTTTTAAGAACTCGCACCACAATACAGTAGTGTGTTGTCTGTCAGTCAGTCAGTAGACTCTAAAATGACACCACATAAGGGAGACACTTAATGTTGCAATTTGTACTGTCGTGACGTCAGTAGAACGTGCGCATGCCATGAAACAGGAGAAGAATTATGCACTCTGTAGGTTACAACACAGCATGACATATGAACTTCAAAAGCAAGAAATATAAATATTTGTTACTCTTAATTTTGGTTTTATTTACTCTTTAAACAGAAAATTTCGGGGACCCTATGAAAGTATATCTAGTATATGAGCTCGTATTACCCGTGGTTTATGTACCTGCTGTGTCATTGTCCCATTACAGTAAACATCGGCAAGCAGTACCACCTATTAAAATAATAATTGTGCCAATCTTAAGGTACTTTGTTTTAATGAAACATTGCATCTTTATTACATTACCTTCAGCTACTCTTAACCAAGAAATACGATATGTTTACAACAAAGATGTTGATTCTTTGCCTTTTAATAAATTATATGAATATGTTACAAACGTATATATATATATAAAAATATAATATATATATATATATAAACCTATCGGTCTACTTAGAATAACGTTTAATTTATTCTTCTTAAAATGTCAATTATTTCTAAGTTGTAATCGAGCTGTAATTTAGTATACATAGTACT